CATTCCCTCAACACTTCATCAAATTTTGAAGTATTCCACCCCCAATGGCGTGGGCACGGTCCGAGGAGAACAGACCGCTTCGAGGGAGTGCTATGCCGCCGCACTCGAAGGCTCATCGGTCTGCGCCCTCGAAACTCTCAGGGATGGGATGCCCGAGTTCGAGGCCGACCAGCCGAGGAAGGAGTTTGCCGCACCCACTGAGAAGCTCGAGCTTGTTCCTCTGCTTAGTCCCGAGAAGCAGGTAAGCATAGGAACCAAGCTGGGGGCCACCGACAGAGAGGAGCTAATCCACTTCCTCAGATCCAACTCGGACGTCTTTGCGTGGTCCCATGAGGACATGCCTGGCATTTGACCCGCGAATTATGACACATCGCCTCAGCATAGATCCATCATTCCGACCTGTGAAACAAAAAAGAAGACCTATAAACAAGGAGAGGAGTGATGTAATTGTTGAGGAAGTTAACAAACTTTTGACAGCTGAATACATAAGAGAAATTTCGTATCCCGAGTGGCTCTCCAATGTTGTATTAGTTAAAAAATCTAACGGAAAGTGGAGAATGTGCGTAGATTTTACGAACTTAAATAAGGCATGTCCGAAAGATTGCTTCCCACTGCCGAGGATTGATCAGCTCGTGGACGCCACAGCCGGGCACGAACTGCTCACCTTCATGGACGCCTACTCTGGGTACAACCAAATCAAGATGCATGTCCCAGATGAAGGTCATACCGCTTTCATAACAGACCAAGGTCTGTACTGCTACAAGGTCATGCCCTTCGGGTTAAAGAACGCAGGAGCGACCTACCAGAGAATGGTGAACAAAATGTTCGCCAAGCAGATCGGCCGGAATATGGAAGTGTATGTGGACGACATGCTTGTCAAGAGCAAGCAGTCTAAGTCGCATCTCTCCGACCTGGCCGAAGCCTTCGAGGTTCTGAGGGCATATCAAATGAAGCTCAACCCTGCTAAGTGTGCCTTTGGAGTCTCCTCGGGAAAATTCCTTGGCTTCATGGTAAACAACCGGGGAATCGAGGCCAACCCCGAAAAGATTAAAGCCGTGATCGAGATGGAGGCACCTAAAACGCTGAAGCAGCTTCAGTGCCTCAATGGCAGGATTGCGGCCCTGAACCGGTTTGTTTCAAGGTCGACAGATAAGTGCCTCTCTTTCTTCAAGGTCTTACGAAAGAAAGGGCCGTTTGAATGGACAGCGGAGTGCGAGCAAGCGTTTCAGCAATTGAAGAGCTACCTCTGTTCGGCACCCTTGCTTGTCAAGCTCATGCCGGGGGACAAGCTCCAATTGTACCTAGCAGTGTCTGACAGTGCCGTCAGCTCGGCCCTAATCAGGCAAGAGGAAGCGCGGCAAAACCCGGTCTACTACACAAGCAAGGCTATGACCGAAGCCGAGACTAGATACCCTCAGATGGAGAAGTTGGCTCTCGCTTTGGTCACCTCGGCCCGACGACATAGACCATACTTCCAAGCCCATACGGTGGTGGTGCTAACTAACT